ACTTCCTTCCATCGTTGCGTCCTGCGCGTACTTCTCGCAAATCGCAGCCATTAATTTGCTTTTCTCGCTTCTTCTGGGCATTAGAAACTTTCTAAAGCTGTTTTAATAATTTTGATTTTGTCAAATATAATTGTTAAAATATTGTACAATAGCACACGAAAAAGTATGGGATGCTCACAAGTTTCATTTTACAACTGTTCTAAAAAAATAGTACAAAAGAGCAAATATGACAAATAGCACGACTTGTGAACTCCCTAAGTATGTTCAGTTATACTTGATAGGATAAAGTTATACAGCTATAAGTGGGCGCTACCACGCCCATTTTCTAAAATTCCATAATAATCTTATTTTAAGAGATTATTGTGAGTATTATTTGAGGGCGATTAATTGAGTAAATTAGCGCCCTTAAATTTTGAGTTATCGAAATTTCAAGCGTTTCTGTAATTTACCGTTATATGAAAAGTAGGCGTAATTTTAGTCCGATGTCAATAATTTTCAATGTTTTGTGGCAAGCACGATAACCGTACCGAGTTACAAATTGGTAGAACGGTTACCGAGATAAATATATGTGATCATAAGTGGGCGGTGCCACGCCCATTTTCCAAAATTTTATCATAAACGTATTTCTTGGTAAAGAATTGCTGCAAGCATCGATTTTGAATAAATTAGCTTTAATATTTACTGATTTATCGAGGATTTCGTATTTCTCGAAATTACCGTTATATGGGATGTGGGCGTGGTTATTGTCCGATTTTAAAAATTTTCGGCCATTTGGTATGCTGTGCCAGGGCCAACAACTGTGCCAAGTTTGGAAGAAATTGGTGCAGCGGTTACCAAGATATAATGTAACCATAAGTAGGCGTGGCTACGCCCATTTGCCAAAATTTTTTAATATTCTTATTTTTCGTCTAAAACTCATTGTAAATATAAATTTTGAGTGAATTATCTTCAGTAGTTACTAAAATATCGCAGTTTTCGTATTTCTGAAAATTACCTTTATATGGGAGGTAGGCGTGGTTATTGTCCTATTTTGCCCATTTTCAATACCATCCGTCCTACGCCCGAAAGAAGTGCACGTACCAAGTTTCGTTAAGATATCTCAATTTTTACTCGAGTTATCGTGTGCACAGACGGACGGACAGACGGACGGACGGACGGACGGACGGACAGACAGTCACCGCTTAATCGATTTCTTTTTTCATTCTGATCATTTATGTATACATTTGTCTATATCTATCTCGATTCGTTTTGCCTGTTACAAACAACCGTTATTTGTGAACAAAGTTATAATACCCTTGTGCACAAGTGTGCTCGGGTATAAAAACAATTGCGATATTTTATTTTAAATTATTAATTTTATTCATTCAATTATTTACGTTTAATAGTTTTGAGAAAATTTTTTGGTTCTGTTGTATTATTTTATTGCATGTCTTAAACTTTTTTACTTTTAGTTATAATGTTGAGATATGCCTTCTGCCTTTGTCAAGCACTTTAGCTAGGTGCGAGAAATTAAGCATATGCGCGTAAAAGCATAGGGCTGGTTTCTCCAACTCAACTTAACTTAGTTTAGCCAATTTTTGTGACTTAGTCAAGAATAAGCGGTGTAAAAAGTAAGCTAACTTTTGACTTAATATCTTATCAGAGGAGAATACATATGGGTGGCTATCACGGAATCCATCGCAGTCCGATTTTTCATAAAATCTACGAAAAAGCGATCACTGAATCTGACTACGATGGATTCTATGTTAGCCTTGATTAGTTCGTGCGATTATGACTTATGGATCGATTATGGATGGCAACGGAACCTCAGTTGGGTTTGCTGATGGACAGCGCCACTGAAATGAAAATGTTTTTTTTTATTATGAATAGCAATAATTACGTTTCATAAAGTTCAAGGTGATACAAATTTAAAAAAAAGTTGAAAAAAAGAAATAAAGTATCTCAATCAAAATTCCCCGGCAGTCACAAAAATGCAGTTGCTAGTTGCCATCGGTAATACCATGATACAAAAAAGAAGGTAGTTTCAATAAACAACTTTTGACGGATAATACAATTTTTTGAAGTTTCATAATTGTGAGTATTATCAACGGTCTTGCCACTTTGATAATATTAAAATAATACATCGGAGTATTTTCTTTCCCATATTTATACCAATGTGAGAATATTTCAAATCAAAAATCATTATCAGTACTTGATATTTTTTTACTTACGTGGTTTGAGCCTCTTTTATTAAAAATACATAAAATGTAAACTGTTAAAGGAGACTTTATTGTAATTGTTCTTTTTATTTCATAATAAAACCATTAGCGCATTATGTTGTTATTTTTTCATTTTCTTATTTTGATATACAGTTTTCGTTTCTTTTATCTTGCGATTTAAAAATCGAATTCTAAAGAATGTTCTTCCCAAATAAAATCTTTTTATAATATTTTGGTCCATTTTAAATTTTTCATCAGATTTTGCAAAAAAATTGGCTTTGTGGTTGGCGAATCACCATTAATTTCAACAAATTTTGAGTTCAAAATTTCCAATGTATGCAAAAAACTTGTATTCGGCTTGTACAGACCGCCCTCCGATAAACAGTTAACATACGTATAATTTTGATCACTTTCTTCATGTATCCTGAAGCCTAGTTTTGTCAACCCCATTTTGGAAATTATGCAGCCGGCAAAATTTGCAAGTCCATCATATACCACATCTTTGAGTGGACTGATGAAATCTTCTGCTTCATGCTCTTTTGCGAGCTACTTAAAAAAATTAGAAATCAAATAAAAACGAAAGAGTAAGGAGTTTACCTCGATGTCTTCTTCTGCAGATATTTCAATGTCGTTTAGTGGTTTGAAAACATTTTCACTGAGCAGGTCCTCTTCAAATTTCAAGATTACTTCACTTGAAGACTCAACATTTGTTTCCGTTATCAAAATAGTTTCGTTTCGCCCTAATAAAGTTCATGCATACATTTTAGAATCTTTATGACAACAACAACAATTTTTTTAAGTGGCTAAAAATTTACCTAGAACGTATGATCGATATCTGTACTTAAATCTTAAATCTTGCACTTAATCGAAGTTTTCACTACCACTAGGGCTTTAGTGGTAGTGCATTTCAAATTCCACTACCACTACACGAATAGTAGTAATCTAATGCTCAGTGTATCATTGAAATTTTCAACTTGCACAGTGTAATTAATTTGGCTTTAGTATTAAAAACGTGTTCCTTTAAATATGGAATAAGTAACTGAAGTCTTATAAGCTCCAACTACTGTGCATGGTGTGTATGTATGTATGTATATCTATGTACATACTATGCACATCAGTGTTGCCGTTTTAGCCCTTTGGTGGCTAGATTTAGCTACCACATACTTTTTCTGGCCACATAAATTTAAAATTGCCCTTAGCCCTTTTTTTTAGCCCTTTTTAGAATTTATTCATACTTGGTATGAAAAAGTTGTATATGCTTAATATGTTTTTTTTTTGCATTTATGTAAGAGATGAATTTTTAAACTAAGAAAGACTGATATATATACATATATGTATTGTATGTTCCTTACGCTTTTATACATACATACTGTAAAAGTGTTGGGGCTGTTAACGATTTAACTATAGTTTAAAATAGATAAGTTCACGGCCCCTAATATGCTAAATTTGTTAAATGACCCATCAAGTCGATTGACCGTGTATGTTCTTGTGGTGTGATTGTACCAGCATGCTGGTGTCGTTAGTGGTGAAAATAGCTCAATTTTCTAAATAAAAAGTATTTTGGCGGAAATTTCTTGCACTATATGAGTCAAAGCCGTGTTTGTGGAAGATTACGTTCACGATATTGCAGTTGTGAATTACAAAAAAAAAAAACAATGTTTAACAAAATGCTAGAAAATTTGTAAAATTTCGGCTCTAATCATTTCGATCTTTCCTCGACCTCATTTGTAAAGAAATAAATATTGTACCAGCATGCTGGTAAGTTATATGCCTCGAGCCTGATGGTACAATCACTTGATGGAACCAGCAAGCTGGTTTCTTTATGCGCTGGGCTGTTACAAAATAAAATAAAAATTCTAAAGTGTTAGTACCAAAAACAACGGAGTTACATGTCACTTCTTAAAAACCCTTCCTGCTTTTGATACTGGTTTTTGCTTCTCCTGTAAAATAGAAAATTTGTTGGTTAGGGCCTTTGTGAATTAAGTTAACGTAATACTCTTGGAAAACCGTGCACTCGAGAATAACGAATACACCCTACATATGTAGATATATATCGATCAAAATCTTACTCAGTTTGCGTGCTGATTGTTGTGAACTTCTTTCTTACAAACTTGCGCGCCACTCCAGAATTTTGCGTTTCTTGTCTGAAAAGTAATAGTTTTATTCACATAGGAACATCAAACTTATGTATGTATGTAATCAAAGGATCTACCTCTCCAAATGCTCTTCGAAATATGTCTCACTATCAAAGCTTTCGTCCAGTTGCATCCTGAAAAAAGCATTTAAATAATCCCTATCTTTAAAGTTTTTTTTTACCTTGTACACTGCGGCACTGCACTTTTCGAAAGCACTGCCTTCTTTCCGCTCATGACGATATCAGAAGATGCAAAATGTATTGCACACACAAATGGAAATCTGGATAAATTTTCTTCGTGAATGTTACACGCTTCCAGCCACTGTTTTCGCACGAACGGTAGCTTAGGAAACGTAAAAAACTTAACCCCAGATCGTTTACATGTATGTACCGAATTTTCACAGTTTGGGAACACACAGCTCATTTTTTCTTTTTATTTTTGCAAACTTACACAAAATTTATTTGATATATGTTAAATAATTTCAGTAAACTTCACTCATTTTCATAAATTTTTGTTTACTTTTACAAAAAAAAAAAAAATCCTCTGGTGATCAGGTAGCACGAATTTTATGAAATGTCATAATTTTATTAAAAGTCAAATGGTTAACAACTACAACGAATGTCATTAAATGGAACTACCTTCTTTTTTGTATCATGGGTAATACCATTTCAGCCACTGGCCAACCAACTGAAGTTCGGTTGTCCTCCGTAATCGACACATAAAATCGGAATTGAATATGCATGCACGTTCTGCAGAACGATAAATATTTTGTAAATGTGTGCTCTGTCCGCTAACGAATTCCAGCCATGTGTGAAATATCGTATGTGAAGCCTCCGTCTTACTTAACGATTGTCAAAGGCATGCCAGAAGATGTTTCATCATATGTTTGCGGCCATCGTCTTCTTCGAGTAAGTTCATCGATTCCAAAAACTTTACAAGCAGCCAGCAGCCCTTAGTGTTTTTGCCAATGACATGGCACTAATAACCAAATTTAGCCGCAGTTGCATTCACACGTGATATAATAGCTGGTGTCGGCAAGCTGTGGGAATGCCCAGGAGATGGCGTTTGTTCAGCTATCGAAATCATTGCACTGACGGCGGTGGGCAGTACTGTTGGTACATATTTACCACAGAAGTGGTTGAGGCGTTTTGTTCTGCAACAATAGCCTGCAATGATGACATGTCCTATAATGTTGACGAACAAAGATATAAAATTGAAAATGACTAACCTTATTCCCGGCTGATTTGGGAGACCACCCTTGGTCACGACCAGAACGCATCTGCCAAGAGGAAAAACCGCAGGGATTGCAGTAGTTCTTGCAATCACCGTTGATGATGCTGTGCTTGTAATTAATAGTCTGAAAAGACAGAAAATTGTGTTAATCAAATGTTAAACAAATCAAATAAATAAATTTCAATAATTTGTATACCATTTCACAAACCGAATTACCAAGAAATAGAAACTCACCGCGATGCGATACAGAAATAAAAACCAACACGGCTGCATTTTCTTGGTAACCAACACAAGCGCTCAGAGCAATCTGATCCGCAATATTATTTCCTGAAAAATAAGCGTTGCAAAGAGTTTTTTAACATGATTATCACATTATCTAATTAGCGCACACTATCGTGTTTATTTTTAGTAGAATATAATTGTATTATCTCAGACTTTTTTTTCCATGTTTTCTAATATTCGTTCTTTTGGCATGCAAAGCAACCATGCGCTCAATTTCTTGTGGGGAAATTTGGCCCCCATAAAGGACTTTCACCACGAAACAGCTACAAAAACAAAAACCTATTCTACTGGTATACTGTGCTTCGTAGAGTAAAGACTTAATATTAACATGGCGTCGAAACGTGTTTTGAAGTGTTTGTCTATTCAAGATAAATTTTGGCTAATCAAAGAAATTGAAAGTGGGAAAAAGAATAAAGAAGTGGCTGAAAAATATGGCAGCTGGTGCTACTTCTGGTGCAAAGCGATTTGGCGATGAAAATTTCAATGCAAGCACAGGTTGACTCGATAAATGGAAGCAGAGGTACTAAGCAAAAGGTGTAATTGATAAATTGTTTGTTCAAAGTGGATACTTTGTTTTATTTTAGGCATTCCGTGAGCCATAAAAAGGTGTGTTGTGAGTGTAATGACGTTCGTGACGAAGACTATGTGGAATTTAAAACTACAATTCTTCCAATTTTAGTAGAAAAGTACAATGAATGCGATATTTTTAACGCAGATGAAACGGATTCCGAATTTTAATGCAATGGAAAGTGATGGTGAGGGCTCCGAGGATGAAATTATTCACCAACCTTCAAATGATGATGCTAGAGATTGCTTCAGATATTTGAATTTATATTTGCAAACAAATGACACTGCCACTAACGATCATTACAAGGCTTTGAACAAATTAGAATCTCCTATTACTGAAAACTCCAAAAGCAAAGTTGGTTTCAGCCACTCAGTTCTGATTATTTTAATTCATTGTAACTTTTACATGTGAACTTGATTTCGAATTAATATATGAACCATTCTTTTTTAAGTCGGACGGATTTCGTAAAAAAATTATGTCATGTCTCCGATTCGCTTAAAATTTTTTTTGTAGGCTCTATACATGAAATCGTTATATCTCGGGTTCTGCTGATCGTAGAGGCTTCATCTTAACGTCATTTTAAAGCTAAGAAACGGGCTTAACGTTTCTATTTATAAGGTGGTCAAGATTGTTCTAAAGCTAACTTAGCTATTAACAGTTGAACTTTTTGAAGTTGATTTGCATAGTGAAGACCAGTAAATTAGGGATTTAAAATTATACCATCGTAATCTCTATAAAAACCGTGGTTCAAAAAAATGGGGGGTTTTCAAGAACTATTTTAAAAATATTTTTCTTTTTGACGAGATGGTTTATTTTGCGAGAATCAACAATTATTTGTAATTTTTTTCGAAAACTTATGTTAAGATTAGGGATGTTGCGAATGTGGAATTATAGACACCCGCCGATGCGGATGTCAAGTATTTTCAAGAAACAATTAGAATCTAGCATAATGGCGAGATCGTTGTTTAAACAGCGCTTGCATGTCAGGTTTTTCTAAAGCTTTTTATAACGAATTCTTCATTCTCATTCCTTTGGCTGTTTCAGAGTTTGGGGAATCTGTAACTCCATCCGCGATTTTCGATTTTAGTTTTTGTAATTCATTTTCAATACTTTCTTTTGCGACTGGTTTGAAAAATGTGTGCTTATAGCGAGCTAAATAGTGGTAAATGCAAAATAAGTTTTTGTTTTCCAGGATTGAAAATTTTGAACAATATTCTGTTTTCAAAGTCGTAGCTGCCAGCCGAATCGGATCAGAATATTGTTATTAAAAAAAAATACCCTGTTTTTTTTTATAAGAATTTGAATTATTGGAATTACGGATGATGAGGGTCTCAGATAGTTTCGTAATTCTTAGCTAATTAAAGGTCAACCTATAGCTTTTTAATTATTTGAGCATCGATTCTCTTTATAGCCAGACATTGATAATTTCTGCTGGAAATCCCTATTGAAGGAGCTTACACTTTGACTTTAAATAGCAAAGAAAGGAGACGTAGGGGGACAGTTTTACCATAGAAGTTTTTAGCCAAGGATCCAGTGTATATCCATATGAAAAAAATTACTTTTTAAAATTTTTGCTAGAAATAAATTCTGCATAGGGGCCCATTCGAAATGATTGAAACGAATATATATAACATCAAAAGCGAATCACGAAAATTTGGTTAAGAATTAAAGTGCACACTTTATTCTTCTGTGTCTAGTAGTTTTTTTTTAAGATTGGTCCAAAAACCAATGCAGGTTTTAAAGTACAGAAAAAAAAGATTATTAAAAGGACTATGTTGTCTTTGACGTACCTCAAAGGTCAAGTAGAAGTGGAAACTTGTATGACTGCCCATTGATAGCTCGGTTATATAGCTTACGAAATAATAGGGCGATTCCTTAAAACGCGCAAATTCCTCGTACCCATATAATCCTTGTAAACTTACTTAATTTTGTATGAAAAATCTAATTATTTGCGAGGTTTACGCGGTTACGAGGGATTTACGCCCTTCCATGAATACCCATAATATGTTTAACGACATTTTTATCAAATATTGGATACAATTTGTCATTTTGTTTTTCCAGATATACGTTTTATCGTTGCACTTGCACAACATTCGCATTCGCAAAAGCTCCGCATTGATTATTGCGAATGCGAAAGCGAATGCGAATGTTAAAGTTAATGCGGAAGCTCTGCGGTTGCGAATGCGAATGCGAATATTCACAACAATTCTGGTTCAGATATATTTGTTAGGGTGTTAAACATCGGGTTTTTGCAAAAAGTAAAATTTTATTGCGGATTCCGATAGAACACCTATCGAGATATAATATTTGTATGGCAAGATTTTTCTTTAGGGCGACAAACCCCTAGAAATGGGCGTGGCAATTGCAGGACTAAAATTAGCAAAACGCAGATTTTATTGCAGATTTCGGCAGAATATTGCTTCGTTAACAATAATTGTTCCACAACTTTTTCAATCCCTATAGATATTGAGG